TATTTTTTAAATCCTTGTTTAGTTTTAAGAAACCCTATTTTAAAATCCTAGTGCAATTAACGTAGTAAGCTACTTCTTATTCTTATTTCATCAGCAGAACTAACGAATAATAATATTATATTCCCAAATTAGTCATATTACTTAAATAATCTGATTAAGGTAATTTTATTTCTAATTCTTAAATAACATTAAAACCAAGCCTTATACAGCTTTCAACTGTTGGCAATAATCTGTATAATAAAAGATATATTTGTTATAAGTTTTAATACTATTTCAAATCAATGCTACCAAGGAATAAATTACTCAAAATACTGGCAGTTAGAGGAACAACATTGGCTTAAGATTACAAATTAGAAGTTCAAAAGCTGACTTTGCTTATAACAGGATAATAACAATAATAATGACTCTATAGAGAAACACTACTCTAAAAATTTAAAAGCCATATAAATGCTGACAATGAAGATGAGTTAAAGACTGATTTATTCAGTAGTCTATCAACTGAGAATCCTATTGCAATAATTGTAATGCAATTTTAACACTATCTGCTCAGAGTAAGCACAGACTCCACAGTCCCCTTGCTTTAGACACTAGCTGCAAGCTCAGGGTCCCTAAGCCACCAAAATTTCCAACTAATTGGCTACAAATCTAGGGGTTCCCACAATCTCCTCGACTTCAATAATTCACTAGAAAAACTCACAGGACTCATGAAATAACTATACTTACAATTACAGTTGTATTATAAAAGATACAAATCAGGACTGGTCAGAGGAAAAGACCCATAGGGCGACAGCTGGGAGGGTTCCAAATGGAAAGCTTCTGAGTCATTTCTCTGTATAATCAGGACTCAACACTCTCCCAACACATTGACGTGTTCACCAACCCGGAAGCTCAACCAGAGTTCCAGTTGAAAGTGTCCAGAGTTTTTAATTGGGGTTTCACTACACAGGCATGATTGTTTGAATCACTAGCCATGTGACTGAACTCAACCTCCACCCCCATTCTGTTCCCAGAGGTCAGACTTATTCACTTAGCTCAAAGCCTTAATCTTCTACTCACCTGGTTGGTCCTTGCAGCTTGGTCAGCACCCATCCAGAAACTATCTGGGAGTTTCATGATTCATGTTGTAAACATGACCTCAGGTCTTGGTCCCAGTGTCCAACTACAATAACAAACATACTCCTATCACTCCAGAAATTCCAAGATTTTAGAAGTTCCTTGCCAGGAACCCAGGAGAAAGACCAAATTGTTACTAGTACCTATTACCAGCATTTTTGTACATCACAAATTTAATAATGTTGTGCTAATAATAAATAATGCTGATATTTTAAAAGATGGCAAAATACTTCTGACTTGACAAATATTAAATTTTACTCAAGGTACTTTTAGTATAAGTACTTTATCAATTATGTATTTATAAATTTATTTACTTAATTTCTTTTTCTTTTTTTGAGATGGAGTCTCACTTTGTTGCCCAGGCTGGAGTACAGTGGTAGGATCTCAGATCACCACAACCTCTGTCTCCTGGGTTCAAGTAATTCTCCTGCCTCAGCCTCCCGAGTACTTGGGACTACAGGTGTGTGCCACCATGCCTGGCTAATTTTTGTATTTTTAGTAGAGACGGGGTTTCACCACGTTGGCCAGGCTGATCTGGAACTCCTAACCTCATGATCCACCCATCTCGGCCTCCCAAAATGCTGAGATTACAGGCGTGAGCTACTGTGCACAGTCTAATTTTTATTTTTTAGAGACGGGATTTCACCATATTGGCCAGGCTGTCTCGCACTTCTGACCTCAGGTGATCCACTGCCTTGGCCTCCCAAAGTGCTAGGATTACAGGCATGTGACACCATGCCCAGCCATCAGCTAATTTTTTTAATTTGTAGAGACGTGGTCTTACTACATTGCCCAGGCTGGTCTTGAACTCCTGACCTCAAGTAATCCTCCCAACTCAGCCTCCTAAAGTGTTGGGATTACATGTTGTGCCACCATGCTTGGCCAATTATGTATTTCTTTCATATGTAAAAGTAGTCCCTCAAATAAAGATATACTGAGGTCCTAACCCCTGGTACTCAGAATATAAGTTCATCTAGAACTAGAGTCATTGCAGATGTGATTAGTTCAGTTGTTATTGGTGTAGGATGAGCCCTTAATCCAATATGAGTGGGGTCCTTAGGAGAAAATGGTCATGTAAAGACAAAGATGCACAAGGGTCACGTAATAACAAAGTCAGAGATTCAGTAGCTAGAGCCTATAACTAGAATTTCATCCATAAAAAGGAATGAAAAGCATCACAAGAAGTGTTGACTTATATTAAAAATTCCTAGACTTTCTCAGTACCACCCTTTGTATTCTGAGTTTTCTGTTTGTTGCACTGTTGTTGTTGTTGTTGTTAAATAAACATTTCCAATAATGGGGGGGAAGGAATGAAGTGCAATACATGCTTCAGTTTAGATGGGGCTTGAAAACATGCTAAGTGAAAAGAAGTCAGACACAGAGGGTCACATATTATATGATTCCTTTTATATGATCCAATAGGCAAATATGGTTGCCAGGGAATAGGGGTAAGAGGGAATGCAGAATGATTACTTAATGGATGCAGGTGTTCTGGAGTGATAAAAAAGTTTTGAAACTAGAGAAAGGTGGTGATTGTACACCATTGTGAATGCACTAAATGCTACTGAATTTGTACTCTTTAAAATGGCTAATTATATGTTATGTGAATTTCACTTCTATAAAAAGAAATAAAAAATAAAACCCTTTCCAATTAGTAGTGACTTTAAAGTCCAACCTATAAGACATGCTAGGCCCCCAAAAATGTTTCAAATGGAGTTATATCCTATTTTGAAAAAAGCTGATATGGTAATCCTGTTAAATATATATGGTCATATATATATATAATATGTATATATAATACTATATATGTAGATATATATATATAATACATAATAATGAACAGAACTGTAAAAATATATATATGATATTATATATGATATATAATATTATATATAATTAATATAATATGTATATATAATATATGATATGTTACATAATATAATACATATTATGTAATATTATATATAATATATTATGTAATATATTATATATTAATATATTATTTATATTCATATAATATATACACAATATATATTTTATATATAGCATATATAATATATTATATATAATATATAGTACATTATATATTATATATAATATATATATTTTATATATATAAAATATCTTTAATATATATTAAATATCTTTGATATATGTAATACATTATATATAATATATAGTATATAATATATATTATATATATTAATGATATATATTATTTATTATATATAATTATCTATGTACCATATATCATATATAGAATATATATTATATATACTATATATACTATATATTTTGTATATAGTACATATATTATCTCTATATTAAATATATAGTATATATAGATAATATATATACAATGTATATACTATATATTATATATATTTTGTATATAGTATATATATTATCTATATATAAAACATATATCTATAGTATATATTATCTATATATAAAATATATATAGTATCTATATATAAAATATATATAGTATCTATATATAAAATATATATAGTATCTATATATAAAATATATATAGTATCTATATATAAAATATATATAGTATCTATATATTATCTATATATAAAATATATATAGTATATATAGATAATATATACTATATACAAAATATATATTGTATATATAGTATATATAATACATAGGCTATATATAAAATATATATTGTATATATAATTATATATAATAAATAATATATAATTATATATTATATTTACTACATATAAAATATATATTGTGTATATATAATTATACATCATATAATATATATATTATAATAATATATAATTAATATTATAACAGGATATAATATGATAATCCTGTTAAATATGTATGTATTCATATATATTTAACAGGATTATTATATTATAATCTTCATTCCTGGAGATATGTGTGTGTATATATATATATACACACACATATATATATATACACACATATATACCATATACATCTCCATATTATTTAAATCTCCAGGAATGACAAATTGCTTTGCAAAGATATTATAGTCTTTTCCAATCATTTCAATCTTAACCCTAAGATGCTATTTGACTTTATCCACCCTCTTTCCACCAACAAAAAAAAAAGCTGAATATACTTTTCAAACTATATAATATTCTTCCCACTCTGCTAAAATCAATACTACAAACAGAATCACTACTGCCATTATGCCACTAAAATATGATTTTTTAAAATCTAGCTTATATTTTTTCAAGATAAATATATTACATGAAATCTAACACCCTGAATAGGCAAAAATATATGCCATACAAGATTGCTAATTCTTCTGATTAAAAGGATGATCAGTTATCCAAATGCAGGTCTTATGATGTAAATCCACATTTCAGTAACATAAAAAGAGTGGTCCATTTCTGATGCTGCAAATTAGGAAATTATTATAATGCCAAATCATGTGCTTTATTCTTTCCTACAAAATATCTGCTTCTCTTCCACAACTGCTAGTTTTTACCTTTTTTTTTTTTTTTTTTTTTGCCTCTGTGTAAGAAAATCCTGTTGCTTGTCCTGTTTTTCAGCCAAAGATGCCCAAGAGATTTGGACCAGTCTTACATTTTTTACCTTTTTCCACTGTGTGGCACTGAGCACATTTTTGAATAAAGATCTTCTTGCCTGCTTCAGCATGTCCCATTTTGCTCTGCAATGGAACATTAAAATCACAAACCAAAGAAAATATCCAATTTTCAAAGCTGGGAGAAAAAAGAATTCCATCACTTTGGCTGAAGTAATGCTAGTGTGATGTTGAACAAAAACATGTTCATTAAAGCATGTAAGCTTTAATGTCTGAGTGCTCAAAAACACAGATATATTATAGCATCCAATTTCTTTCTTTCTTTCTTTCTTTCTTTTTATATCAGTCTCCGTAGAGACTGTCAAAAATTGCCAGTGCCAACTATGTTGCAAGTCGTCATGGCGGGGTACTGGGAAAAGTTTTCAGTTAGCGATAATCACGCCTCGGATAAACCTCATTGGCTACAACACTGCCACTGCGCAAAGCTATAGCATCCAATTTCATAAAGACAATCATTTCATTAATTAGTCTTATTTTAAGTTCCTGCCATAGCTACTTCAGAAACTATTGGTATCAAAGAGGTTTTACATTAGCCTTCAAAGAATTACATTAATTTATTCATGTCAATCGTATTCCTTTTCATTTCTAAAAAGTGCATGTGCAAAAGATGATGTAAACGTATAGGTCTAATTTTGCATCCCCTTACTTAAAAATAAGAATTGAACAAATAGAAAAGGTGTTTAAACATGATATTATTGTGAGTATTTATATGTCTACAATAATAGAACTGTAAAAATAAAAATTATACAGAAAAGAATGCAGCCATAGCAACCTATATATAATTTCTCATTTACTTTATAGTCTTAGCTATAAATACCAGACTAGATCAAGCATTATCCAAAAGCAATCAGAAATAACATTATTGAGTTCAGTTAGTATTAGTATGTATTTTATACTAATGTAGTGGAAAAAACACAATTTTAAGTGGGAAAGACCTTACTATGTGGTGGTAGATATATAAAATAAATTTTTTACAAAGATATTTTGGTTAAGACTGTTAAAAATTCTATAACTAAATGCCTCCTCAGTAAAAATTAAAATAATTTCAAACTATCAAAAATGTGTTTTAATATAGTAATGAATACACTGGGTTTTATTTTTCTGTTTCTGTGTTCTGTGAAGAATAAGTACACAGGAGTTGGGGTTTGGATGGATTTGAACACAAAGAATTACAACTTCAGACATCATGAAAATACCTAATTCTTCGAGAGTAGAGTTCTAAGCACATATTCATCTATCAATATATAACCCAGCTGAGAAACAGAAAATGTTGGTGTTATTCTGCCAATATTAAAGAATACATGTTGTTTAACTAAATTCATACAATTGTTTAACATTATAATTATAACAAATTATAATTTTGTTATAATTATAACAAAAATATAACAATATGTATTCTTGGCAAAATAACACAAACATTGTTAGTTATTACTCCAAGAAAGGCCAATGCTTTATATACAAAAACCTGCAAAACTAAAATCTTCCTAACTTTTTAAAATCTATATGGAAACCCATAAAAGTGTCAATAATCCACCTAAAGGGAAGGTAGTTTTGTTTAGGCGGTATCCAAAAACAAGCTATGAACCAATGATTCAGGTCTCATAGAAAGCCAGGTAAGAAAACTTAACTTTATCCAAGAGAAGCTTACTTTAAAATTCCAAACACCACTCAAAGTATTGCATTCAATTATCAGTTCTATTAATTATCTAAATAGGTTCAGAATTCAGTGAGCCTTTGAGCACGGACCAAAAAGGATAAAACTTCAGTCACAAAATCAGTTTTGGCCTTTTTTCAAAATATTTCACCATAACCATAAAATTTGCATCATAAAAAAGTCATCTAAGTACTAACTAGGGAATCTTTACTTCCAACTTTTATACAAAGCTGAAAAGTCAGTTTGAGGATGGGCATGGTGGCTCATGCCTGTAATCCCAGCACTCTGGGAGGCTGAGGTGGGTGGATCACCCGAGGTCAGGAATTCAAGACCAGCCAAGCCAACATGGTAAAACCTTGTCTCTACTAAAAATACAAAAAGCAGCCGGGGGTGGTGGGGCATGCCTGTAGTCCCAGCTACTCAGGAGGTTGAGGTGGGAGAATTGCTTGAACCTGGGAACTGAGATCATGTCACTGCACTCCAGCCTGGGCAACAGACTGAGACTCCAAAAAAAAACAAAACAAAAAAAAAAAAAAAAAAAAAAACGAAGGAAAATCAAATTGATTTTTATACTAAATAAATATTACTAGTAATTCAGGAAACTAGACATTTAAAAACAATCAAAAAACTGTCTTTGCTCAAAAACCTCAGGTTTCACATGAAAGTAACATATAACATATTTCCATTATAACTGTTACAACTACCACCATTAATCACAATTGAAACGTTTACTGCTCCCCTCTTTAATCACAGGTGAATACTGCCAGTGCAAATACCTATGACCCTCTTCCAAGTGCATTAAAACCAACAGATTCAGTTATAGCAACAAGGGAAGAGCAGGAGAGCAAGGGATAGGATATTCTGAGAAGGACAGGAAGAATATGAAGAGAATTCATTTTGTCCTATAATCATTTTACACTATCAGCATTTCATATTTCAAAAGAAATCTCTCACTGAAATTGGCAAAGATGTGGCATCTAGTATGCAAATGGTCATTCTTCCAAGAATGAAGTAATTTCAAAACTAAATAGAGTAACAGTGTCAAACATTTGTGTGTTCTTAGTACGTGACAGGCATGTTCTAAGCAACTTTGTATATTATTAACTCATTTAGTCCTGACAACAGCCCTGTAAAATGGATACCATTAACATCTCTATTTTTATAGACGAGGAAAATGAGGCAAACGGAGATCAAGTGACTTATTTAAGGTCACAGGTTAGTGAGCAGTGGAGAAGAGATAGTGAAAGGTAATGAATATTAAATCTATAATCTTACAGGTTTAACAATTCCTTTTTAAGGGTGACTTGGCTGCCCTGTGTTGAACACAGTATCTGAAACACTGCAGCTGTTTATAACTATTTTTTACCCAGCTGAAAGTGCTTAAAGAGGACGAGGTCGGTACATATCATTGCTATGACTTTTCATAAAAAGAGAAATGCTAGTGAAATACTTTTTTAAATGGATATTAAAAAGGGCCTGCGGTTCCGCCCTTCGCCCCCGCTCCCAGTAATCACCTGGAACCACCGCCTGGCCTGAGTCCACGCCTCAACTTCCAGGCTGGCGACCCAGAAACAGCGCCCCACACCTCAACTTCCAGGCTGGCAATCCAGAAACAGTGCCCTACGCCTCAATATTTTTTAATATGGATATTAAAAAGGGCCAGCGGTTCCGCCCTTTGCCCCCCGCTTCCAGCAGTCACCTGGTATCACCACCTGGCCTGAGTCCACGCCTCAACTTGCAGGCTGGCGATCCAGAAACGGCGCCCCACACCCTGGCAGGCGTAGCCGGACATGTGCTTCCGGTGGGGGCCAGCCAATGGTAAGCCAGCCCAGTTGCGCTGCTGATTGGCCCCCAGATACCGTGGGATCCCACGGCTCCCAGAGGCGTAAAGCCTTGTATCTGCTGTGCAGTCCCTGGCTCTGCGTGCCTGCTGTCCAGCAGCTGTCTTGAGTTGTCAAAAACTGGCTAATTAAACTGAGGAAATGAATGTTTAATTATTTTCATTATAATTCATTTTAATTTTAGGTAATTTTAATTTAAATCGCCACAGTCACCAGGTGATGCTTGAATGAAACTATTCTAAGTGGTGTCTATGAGTTTTGTCCTGTGATCTACACATTTAAAAGATGTATGTCATTTGCCGGGCGTGGGGACTCACTCCCGTAATCCCAGCACTTTGGGAGGCTGAGGCGGGCAGATAACGAGGTAAGGAGATCGCGACCATCCTGGTTAACACAGTGAAATCCTGTCTCTACTAAAAATACAAAAATAATTAGCTGGGCATCGTGGCACGTGCCTGTAGTCCCAGCTACTCGGAAGGCTAAGGCAGGAGAATCACTTGAACCCAGGAGGCGAAGCCGAGATCATGCCACTGCACTCCAGCCTGGGCAACAGAAGGAAACTCCTTCTTAAAAAAAAAAAAAAATATATATATATATATATATATATATATATATAATATATAAAATATATATAATATATAAAATATATTATACATATAAAATATATTATATATATAAAATATATCATGTTATATATATAATATATTATATATACTATATATAATTATAATTATATTATATATAATTATATATGTTATATATATTATATATTATATTATAATTATAATTATATATATTATATATAATTTATATATTATATATTATATATATATCAAATGGAATCAAAAGGAGCATATATACTGTGAAAAAATCAGGCATTAGATATTATTCTCAAACTCAAACAAAAGTATGCAAACTCAAGGTAACTACCATTTCTTGAGTATCTGTCACAGACCAGGCTAAATGATTGCATACCTCATCAGTAGCCAAGTAGCTTTACAGATGGGACAAATGAAAACTCTGGACCATATTCATATACAACAATCTTTTTTTTTTTTTTTTTTTTTTGAGACAGAGTTTTGCTCTTGTTACCCAGGCTGGAGTGCAATGGCGCGATCTCGGCTCACCGCAACCTCCGCCTCCCGGGTTCAGGCAATTCTCCTGCCTCAGCCTCCTGAGTAGCTGGGACTACAGGCACGTGCCACCATGCCCAGCTGATTTTTTGTATTTTTAGTAGAGACGGGGTTTCACCATGTTGACCAGGTTGGTCTCGATCTCTTGACCTCGTGATCCACCCGCCTCGGCCTCCCAAAGTGCTGGGATTACAGGCTTGAGCCACCGCGCCCGGCCATATACAACAATCTTAAAGTTACTAATTGATCACCAATAAGTCTTAGTTGTAAAACCTCTAAAAATTTGCAAATAGGGCAAAACATTTTTAGTTAATTAAATGTAACATATGAAGACTAATATCACCAACTAAGTAAGCCCCATTGTACTTGAGTTTGGAAAATAGTGAAAAAAATTTATTATTTGATTCTGGCATTTCAAAAATTAGTCACAATATCACTTCTCATTTTTAAAAAGGAAAGATTTGAGGGAGAAAAGTTTCCAAAAAAATCTAAATTTCATGTGAAACAAACGTATGTGCACATTCTAATAACAGTGACTTATAAGCTACATGTTCTAAAACCTTGAAAAAATTTAATCTACAAATGCCCAGCACATTTTTTTCTACTAAGCAGACTAACTAAAAATCATTCTTTCAAACATCAGAGATTTTTAGGTGTTTTAGTGACACATAATTCAGGTTCAAACGTTTTATGATTTGAAATTAACAATTTGGTCATTGAGTGATGAAATGCTCTAAAATTGATTGTGACGTTGCTTGCAAAATACTGTGAATGTACTAAAAATGATTTCATTGAATACATCAAATGAGTGAATTGTATGATATAAAAATTACATCTTGCTGGGTGTGGTGGGTCTCCCCTGTAATCCCAGCTACTTGCGAGGTGGAGACAAGAGAGTAACTCAAGGCCAGTTAAAGACTGCCCTGGGCAACATAGTGAGACCCCATCCCTTAACAGAAAAAAAAAAAAGGAAGAAGAAGAAGAATTGTATCTCAATAAATCTGTTTAAAATAAATACACAAGTCATGAAAATATATATTTACTATATTTTTTAACTTATAAGTAAACTTCTAATTTTCCTTGAATACGTCGTGTTTCACAAAGTTGAATAGGAAAGAAATTTTGCTTTCCTGGCATTGCCCAATATTTGCATTCCTGGTTTTGTTTTATGCAATCATGTGTCTTCTCTTTGAAAAAAAATAACTACTCTCAATAACAGCCTAAAATTTTCAGGACACCAATCAGTAATCTTATTTCACGAAGAACGGAGATTGCTCAGTCAGGGCAATTTAAGAAAATTACACATTTTCCACTAGATGGCACTGGTGTGCAAATAGTATTGCTCAGAATCTTTGCACTTCCTCTCATCAATAAAATTATTACACTATCAAATTATTTTCATTTACCTTGATTGTTGTGCATAAGATAAAGGGAAATGGAAAGGTAAGAAAAGATGCTTCTTAGAGTTGCTCAGCATCATGGTAAACAGAGCCCTCATTTTACAGATATGGAATGTAATACAAAGAGAAATTATAAAAATCTTGTTAGTGCTAAATCCAGGGTGACAACCCACAATCCCTGACTCTCAGTAACCATCACACAACTGTACAATATCAAGGGTGGAGGAGTGGATACCATAGTCAAAGGGAACAAGAAAATTAATCTCAATTGTGCCATTATACAAATATTATCTCATTTGATCTCTAAACTATTTTGAGCTCCATATATATTATCTCATATGAGTATAACTATACAAGGCTAAGTGATTAACTCTGCAGGGGAAGGAGAGTGATTATTTTGTTCAGTACTGCATCCCTTCAGTATACCACAGTGCCTAACACATAGTATATAGTCAAAAATATTTACTGAATAAATGAATGGCTGAATTAATTAAACTCAATAGCCACATTCCTGGATAGCTATTGGGTGACTATCAAGCTTAATTAATTCAACCATAAAATAATATTATTTATTACCCACTTGGTAGGTAATATTATTTCTATTTACAGTTAAGGAAACCAAAGCTGCAAGTATTAAGTAACTTGTCCAAGCTCACACAGTTCAGTAGCAAAACCATGTAACCCAATCTGACACTAGCTTGCATTATATATTTACATGTAAGATTTACACAGTGGGGAAAAACAAGCCCTCAGGACACGTGTTTCCTGTTCCTCATTATATATCTAGCTCCTGGCATGAAGCCTGGCATATAGTTGGAGTACAATATTTATCTGGTTGGCTTCATAGCAACTTAGGTCTTAGCAGCAAGGACTTGTTCATTTGAAGAACTCTGAACTCTGCTTTTGGTCCACTTAGGGGTTTATTCCTTTCCCTTCATTCCAATGCCACTGCTAAATCCAGGCCTTGTTTCTGGATTTCTGCTGGATTTCTGACCTCTCCTCTGACTTCACCTGTTAATAAGAAGGCATCCTCCACTTTGCTTGCACTTTATGATTTCTCCTAGTTCGACAACTGAGCGGTCCACCCTCGCTGCCCTCCACCTCAGGGGTGCTTACAGAAATTAAGTAAATCAACAGATGGAGTTAGTGCTGGTTTTGGCTGTACGTGTATCTCTATTACTTTGGCTATGCTATAGGACTCAGCTTCCTCATTTCTAACAAATGAGGCTGCAATTGAATGATCTCAAAGCTTCCTTTCAACTTTAAGGCTCTGTAGTTTGAACTCTGTCCCATAGTGACCATCTATTGAGCTTATGACCAAGATGGTGAGAAAGGACGCTCCGCTTTGACCAAAACTTAGTTAGGCTCCTCTGAGTCCTCTGCCTGACTAGGCTTGATCTTGGGCTTTCAGTCCTTGTAGCATCCAGATTGAGCAAGAACCTGCTGAATCAGTGTAGTGAAAATCCTCATTCTTGGTATCTGACCACCATCCATATTAATCACCTTGGCCTGCCTTCAGCAAGTATCCTGTCCAGTTGGTTTAGCCAGAATCCTCCTTAACCCTGATGTTTTCTCTTAGTAATCTTCCATCCACTGACCTCCCACCCAGCTTCTGGGTTGTAAACTTGTCCTTATTAGAGTCAAAATTCAGTCCAATCTCTCTCCCCCACTGCAGGACCCCATTGCAGCTGTCCATGGCCCTATGACCATGGCTCTCTTTGAATAAAGTTGGCCTTACTGTACCATCTCTAACTAGTGTCATGAGTAATTTTTTCTTTAACACTGGGAAGAATCCTTGACCTTAGAGGTGGGGTAAAGCCAGCGTTGGGAAAACCTGCGCACTAAGCAACACAGTTCTGCCTGCAGGGAACGATTGCGCAACTGGTACCTGGGCCTGGGCTCCGTTGGATTGGAGACTTAGACTGGGTCAGAGTCCCCCGCGTCGCCAGGGGGCGCTGCAGGCCGCTCCCCGGAAGCCCTCATTCTGCGCGGCTGAACAGCGCCAGGTGCCGGACTCCTCTCGCTCCCGGAAGAGGAGCTATGAACCCGTAAAGGCTCGCTGTGAGACAGCCGCGGTGGCGGATACCGCCGAAGCGAAGAGCACCGAGGCCCCTGCGTTCGGGTGGTGCACCATGGACGAAGCTGGCAGCTCTGCGAGCGGCGGGGGCTTCCGCCCGGGCGTGGACAGCCTGGACGAACCGCCCAACAGCCGCATCTTCCTCGTGATCAGCAAGTACACGCCCGAGTCGGTGCTGAGGGAGCGCTTCTCGCCTTTTGGCGACATCCAGGACATCTGGGTGGTGCGGGACAAGCACACCAAAGAGTCCAAGGGCATTGCCTTCGTTAAGTTCGCCCGCAGCTCGCAGGCCTGCAGGGCCATGGAGGAGATGCATGGCCAGTGCCTCGGCCCCAACGACACCAAGCCCATCAAGGTGCGGGTGCCGGGGTCGGGGTGCCCTCGGGGGAGGGAGTGGGCCTTTCGGACCTCCCTTCACCTGCTGCTCTGCGGGGGTGAGGGAGGCGTGGAACGTCCGTTCCCGGCTGCTGACTAGGCAGCACCTGGCGTGGGGAGGGGGCGGCTTTGAGGAGAGGCTCCCCTCCCACAAGGCTGCGCCGGGTTGCAGGGAAGGCAGGGGACGGGATGCCGAGAGCACGTTTGTCCCCGAGAGCGGACCCGGCGGCCGCCGCCACCCGGTGGCAGAGCAGCAGAGGCTGGGCCTCCCCGCCCCCTTGCCCTTCGTTATCCACCGGCTCTTGAGTCAACTGCCAAACTCGCCCTAGCCCACTTTAAGGACTTTTCTCACCTTCCTCTCTCAGATGCCCAGAATTTCCATATATGAAAAACAGAAAAACTCTACTTTTCCTCAAGTAGGGAGGAAGCATAACAACTTGACGAAAGTACTTTAAACTAGGGGCCTCTGGTGTGGGACGTTTTCCCAGTACCAGACGAAAGAATGCATGTATATAATACTTAAGTGCAGGAGTTTAAAACGGCCACTTTACATGTTCATCGCATTTTGTGATTTTGAAAATTATTTTAAATGAGCTCTGTTTCTGAAAGTGTTAATAGCATGGATTTGGTTCTTGACTCTTTCTGTTACTGCAACTTTTCTTTGAAAGCAGACCAAAGTAAACTGCCTTAAGAAGTGCCAAGTCATTGAGATAATGACACATGGCAGGAAGGGTCATTTTGAGGGTTGAGTTAATCTATGCTTTTAGCACACTGCCTCGCCCACGGTAAGCCCTTGTTATTGATCGGTAGTAGCCAGGATGTCACTGCTTACTCTCTGTGACCTCAAATCAGGCCTCAATCCTGAGAATCTGCCGATTGCTTAAACAGTACTCTTCATCTGCCCCATGTAAATAGTTGCTGTGTATGTTATTCTGCTGGTACTTTGCACAAAAATATTTTCTCAGTTAAAAAAATTTTTTTTTTCCAAATTGAGAATGGTATTAATATGGACTTATGTATAAATAAAGGACTCAGAGATATTTCAGTCTCTGGAGGTCTTGCTCCATCCACAAAAGAGGAGCCTGGAAATATACCGACAACACAATAAACAATCCCTCCCACTTCTCCACACTTCTTCGAAGTATGTCAGAATAGTACTGCAACAAAAGTAATTATAGGGCTATAGCATACAGGATCAGGAGTTGGCAAACTTTTTCTGTAAAGGGCTGGCTAGTAAACATTTTAGGCTTTGTGGGCCATTTACCGTCTCTGTCACATATCCTCTGTTTTTATAGTCCTTAAAAACTGTAAAAACAGTTATTTCATCGTGGGCTATATAAAAAATGGAGCTGTAGTTTGCTGACCCCTGTACTAGGCTGATGAGTTTCATTGCTTTCCAATTATGACTTTAGTGGAGAGGGATTTTATATTTTTAGTATAACATGGCCACAGAACCCATGGGCAACTCAAAAAAAGTACCATATTTGAAATAGATGGACCACCTTCCCCTGATGAATATCTACAAGAGAAATTAAAGGCCCAACACCGAAATGTACCTTTATTTTACCACAGAGAAATTTAAGTTCTTGCTCCCAAAAAGAATTAAACTTTACAATTTTGTTTTTTACGTTTTTGACTATTCAGTTTTAGCCAGAAGGTTGTTTCGCTAGAGTGCAGTGGCTTGATCACAGTTCACTACAGCTTCCACCTTCCAGGCTCAGGCAGTCCTCTTACCTCAGCCACCATCCTGAGTAGCTGGGACTGCAGATGTGCACCACCATGCCCAGCTAATTTTTTTGTTTGTTTGTTTTAGATGGAGTTTCGCTCTTATTGCCCATGCTGGAGTGCAGTGGCATGATCTCAGCTCATTGCAGCTTCTGCCTTCCAGGTTCAAGCAATTCTCCAGCCTCAGGAGTAGCTGGGATTACAGGTGCCCACTACCATGCCTGGATAATTTTTGTATTTTTCGTACAGACAGGGTTTCACCATGTTGGTCATCAGGCTGGTCTCGAGCTCCTGACCTGAGGTGAGCCACCCGCCTTGGCCTCCCAAAGTGCTGGGATTACAGATGTGAGCCACCAGTGCCCAGGCAATTTTTTAATATTTTTGTAGAGACAGGGTCTCACTATGTTGCCTAGGTAGGTCTCAAGCTCCTGGACTCAAGTGATCCTTCCATTTCAGGCCTCCCATTTCAGTTGTGACCCACCACACCCTGACAGCCTAGTTTCATTCAGTAGCTGCAGCTTGAGCCATCTTCCACTGGAACACTGTTGTGTTGTTTTCAGCATTTCCAGTTAAATTAATTCAGCTTAAATATTTCGCATGTACTTTGCTTTGCAAAATTTCAAAGGATCTATAAGACAAGAATATTATCGTACCAGGCCTTGTTGGGGGGAAACCCCACAAGAGCCAAGGCAAGGGTCTGAAGACCTCAGTCTGTTCTCATATAAACATTGAATTAGAAAAGAATTAGAGATAATTACATACTTATTCCTATAATAATCACATAGCTATTCACATGTAATCATAAATATATACATATATACAATCATATAATCTTTAATTTTATTAGTAAGTCTCAGGTCATGAAGTATGGAACTGAAATGGCATTGGGAAAGAGGTGACCTTAAGGCAAGATGCTCTAAGCCCTCCTTCACACCCACATAAGGGCTGCTGGAGGGCGCCTCGGCTATGCAGCAGCGCCAGCGCTGTGAAAGTGCCCACTCTTTAGCCGGCTGGGGAAGGAGATGTCCAAAATGGCCAAGACATCTCCTTCCTTGGGGGAATTGGAGGAAACTCAGCTCTTCCAAGCCCTTGTAGTAGCCCTCGCAGCTGTCAGGGAGGCCTGCGGTCATCCAAGGGCTTAATTGTCTCTATGTGATGCTGTGTTTCAGTGGTCACATTCCATGTCTACTTTCACGTTCTGCTTCTGCACCTGGTTCTTCTCTTTAGGATAAGAATTAGTAATAGTAACATAAATTTTAACATCCCTGATATTATTGACAAATATGAAAAAAGTGCTGACACATTAGGTTTTCTCCTTGCCTTGGCTTCTTGAAAATCCTGAGCTCCTGTTTCCAAGACATGTGATTTACCTGACCCTATCACTGACCACCATTACCTCACCCTACCTACCCTGCCCCCTGCTTTGTACTCAATAAAAGTCAGAGTGTCCAGGCACTTGGGGCCTTGCTGGACTCTGCACTTTGGCAGTGGACAGCTGGACCCAAACTCTCTTTTCTCTATCTCTGTGTCTTGTGTCTTTATTTTCACAGTTTCTCGTCTCCACACCTGTAGAGAGGGACTCACAGGACCCTATAGGGCTGGACCCTATAAGGCCTCAGCCAGAAAATATTGTCCAAGTAAAAGTTATTCTGTGACTAGCTATGTTATCTGGTAGAAAGGGGAAAACATAGAAAATATAAGAAAAAATTCTTGGCTTTAGTTTTTCAAGAATGCTTCTTACCTAGAGCCTATGAACACCCATAGTCTGTGAAAGTAAAAATTAATGGGAGAAATCTACCATGAGGAGGTTAATTATTTTACATGTGTTCTACATATAGACTGTCTCCTTTATCAGAGATTTGAAACACCTCAATCCTCTGAAATTTAAAAATTTGTGTTCTGATGGCACTTCCAGTCTCATCTTACCTGAGATTCTTTTTTTTTCTGTAGTGTCTTTGCATATACTTCAAGTTTCCCTATTTGTATTTTCCTATTTACGATTTACTACTGGTATCAGCCGCAAGACTTTCTATTGGGCCATTTCTCTGTTACTGAATACCACACTCATATAGTGCTTGACATAGTATAGATTTATTGAAGGAATAACTAGAAGTAGACTATATAGGGATATGTCTCTAACCTTGTGGTTTTCTTAGGTGCTGCCACCTACTCTGGAATTTCGTAGGGTCCAGTTTTCTCATGCTTGAACGATACAGAGTCCGCTTTACCAGCAGTAGATCGGAGACCAAGATACAGAGCCCCCTTTAAAGGAAAAAGAAACAGACAACAAAAGGGCCCTTGTTTATGGTGTTTTAATTAATTGTATTTCATTTCTTCAAATTGCTCTGGCTAAAAATAAATGCAAAAGTAGAAATACGTTTGGGAAAAACACAATGCAGAGATTGGTATTATATAAAAAGTCATTGCAGGCCCAGTGAAGTGGCTCACACCTATAATCCCAGCACTTTGGAAGGTCAAAGTGGGAGAATCGCTTGAGCCCAGCAGTTCATGACCATCCTGGGCAGCATAGCGAGACCTCGTCTCTACAAATGATAAAAAATCAGCTGAGCGTGGTGGTATGTGCCTGTGGTCCTAGCTACTTGGGATTCTGAGGTGGGAGGATTACTTGAGCCTAGAACATTGAGACTGCAGTGAGCCATGATCACACCACTACACTCCAGCCTAGGTGGCGGAGCAAGACCCCATCTCAAAACAAACAAAAAAACACAAAACTCATTGCAATAAAAATTGCTTTTGAAAAAATTTAAGAAGTGGGAAAATAGTTAACATTATTTTGGGGGTTTTGTTTGTTTCTTAGGTTTTCATTGCTCAGTCCCGATCATCTGGAAGTCACCGAGATGTTGAAGACGAAGAACTTACAAGAATCTTTGTTATGATACCAAAGTCCTACACAGAAGAAGATCTGCGAGAAAAATTTAAGGTACTTATGTTTTCTAACCAGTTAGCATATGTGATAACTCACAGTCCTACATAGGTTGTATGGGTACTAAATCTGAAGTGTTGTTTGAATAAGGTCAGTAGAGTAGTCATGGGGAATTGCATAACTGTTTTCATAATTTTCAATCTACTCTTTAAATATTAAACCTAGCATAAATTAGTTTTTAAAATTGAAGATTATATAAAGTCTGAAAAGTAGTAATTTTAGTCTCTCCCTGCTTTATTGTGACAGTAGAGATTCACAGAAATGAAGTAGAAAGCTCTGAGACTTTTAAGCAAAGTCACAGGTAGTAGGTGGTAGAGCTGTGATTTAAACCCAGACTCTCAGAGTCTGGAGCCTGTTCTTGGTCTTTAAAATTTCAAAGCACTCTCTAATCACTCCCCTCTATTGCCTGTCATATAGAGGCAAATCAGGCAGGCCTGAATGTGTGAACTGTATTGTCTAGTATTTATAACAGGCCTATGGTAGTGTTGATATGGTACTACTCATTCACAGAAAGTCTTACTCTTTGACGAATTTCCATCCTAAAATTGGGCCTTTGAAGGAGTTACATATAAAGAAGAAAACCAAGTACAGCTCTGACCTATATAAATGAAATTCAAAGATCATTTTAAGTCTTTTTAGCCATTAACTTATGCGATGATAAGCTTTCACAACAATTATTAAAAAGCAATTTTTAAATTGTTTTGAGTTGTAGTTTTATCTTTTTTCTACTAATCCTTCCATGAATTGGGTGGCAATAAGCAAGAAAGAAAATAAGTAGTTAACAGTAATTTTCAAACTTCCTCTCCTACCCCAATTGAGAATTCAAAAAAATACTTCAAAAATAACAAATATCAGAAATGTATATTTCATACTTTCTCCAGTAGTAAGAAAAATGTTTTTTACCTCAAATATTTATAAATTTTTATCTTTTCCCGAATGAACAAATATGACACTTTATAGTAATTAAGTTGCTAATTAATTACTTAAGAATTTATAAGATAAATAATATCAATGGTTTATAGTCCATATTTCTTTGAACATTAAAAGTAAATACTACTGCATATTTCTGAGAATAGTAACTTTCTGAGTGAACCAGTGTATTTTAAAGATATCCTTTGAAAAGCAGTCCTTCTAAAGAATACACAATCATTTATGCTGCTGTTAGAAGACAGACAAGTTATTATAGCTAATGTTCTTTGAGTGTTTAGTATGTTCTAAGCCCCATGTAAGCACTTCACATATTTTACTTCAGTTAACCCTTAAACAACCCTGTGAGGTAGAAACTACTGTTAGTTTCTTTTAATAGATGAAGAGGTAGGCACAGAGAGAATAAATAAACTGCCTAATAAATAAGTGGGTGATCCAGGATTTCAAGCTAGAAAGTTTAATTCCAGAGCTCTGGCTCTTAACCACTTTTGAGCAAGACTTTGGAGCTGTCCAGACCATGTACAGATTCTTCCCTTTTTTTTCCTGTGGCTTTGTCCTTGTTTGATTTCTCTAAACCCCAGCTTCCTCATCTCTGAAATAAGCAGTATAAAATATCTGCATATTTTATACTGCTTACTTCTTTCTTTGCATGCAAGGGTCACATATAAACAAATTTTTGCTTCTGAAATACTCTGTTCAATTAATTGTAAGTCCCCTAAGATAATGTCTTTTAACTCTCTTAGGTGTATGGAGATATCGAGTATTGCAGCATTATTAAGAATAAAGTCACTGGAGAAAGTAAAGGTTTGGGCTACGTACGATACTTAAAACCATCACAAGCTGCCCAAGCAATAGAAAACTGTGATCGAAGTAAGGATGTGATTGTTTAACATTGTTAAAAACTTCTGTAAAAAATTCTGATTATTCTAAATAAGTGAATTTAATATTGGTTTTTGCTAATAACCATATCTGGTAATGTAATTTTAGTAGTAGGTATTTAAATACATGCAGTCCAAGGATGAAAAATACCTTGGGGCTATGATTAAACATTCATTGAGGCACTATTTTGAAGAAATAAGAGCAACTACTTTAAGTTAGTGAAGTACAACACACTTTGGCTATTATTTGCAAAGGTTTTGGATTTTTTTTTTAATGTATTTTAGCATTTTAAGTTTTAAAAATTGACCTACCTTTTCAGGGTTTTAAAAATATTCTTTATATTTGTTTATATTTGATCTACACCCCAAAGAGTATACAGTATAACTAATAAACATAGGTTAAAAATAAGATTTATAAGATGTGCTAACATAAGTAATTAATATAGCTAGGGTTAATTTCAAGCTAGTGTGACATGAATTTGATCTTCTGATCTTGCTGTATATAGAAAGCATAAGAATTTTAAATATGTCATGGAGAACATTCTTTGTTGGTATACTTCTAGTTAGGTATATTGACCTTTAGAAATTAGATGTGGAATAATTAAACTACAGGATGTTAGGACATTATAAAAATCTATGTGTACTGGAAAGAATTACTGTGAATCAGTAGAATTCTTAGATACCCCTAAGGTACATACCAAAATTTTCTCTTAGATCCTTCTAAATTTCTCATTTAGCTAGCACTAATTGAGTACCTATGGTATACTCATCAATATGCTAAGTGCAGGGATACAGATGAAGTATATGGCAGCCCTAGCTTTTCAGGAATTTATAGCTATATTAAGTAGCCAAGATCTAATAGTCAAAAAAAGTAAAGAATAATGGAAGAACTTTTTTTTGAAGGCTGTTTGAAAGCAAGAAGTATGTGTTTTTTGTCTGTCACTCCAAGTATCTAGTACAATATTAGGCCCTCAATAAAGATTTATTAAGCTCTCTATAAAAGTAACTGCCATTTATAGTAGACTCAATAAGAATTTGCCAAATGAAAAAAATGTTTGTAAATGTATGGTAGAGTCTATCAATGGTGAAAAACAAATGTGCTGGATGAGCATGGAAACGCATGCGGAGCGGGTAGGACTTAGGTCTGGTGCTGAGTAGGCAGGACAGAAGATGACAGCAGTGCTAGCAGAGGCACAAAGCCAGGAGTAAACATGTCTTGCTTAGTGCTGTGAAGGCAGCTGTCTGAGTAAAGCACAGTATTTCTGTTGAGACATTTTGAGAGACAGTTAACTAGGTACATTGGAACCATATATGGGAGGTTAGGAAAAGTTCAAGGTTAGTCCACTTTAGGATTCTTTTGTAGATTGTCTGGAAAGATTAAAGTAAGAACAGTTTATCTAACCACACAGATTTTCAGAGAAGAATTCAAACTGGCTGGCTTTATCCTTTTTTAAGCCACTGAATAATGTGAAGAAAACTGAACCCTCCATATACACATAAATGCATAATAAGCATTTTGTTTAAAGTTTCAGAGGGTTCCTAGAACCTTCCCACCTTTTGAAGCTCATCCTTCGACCCCTAGTTAAGAACCCTTGATCCAGAAGAACAGTTAAAGGACTGTTGTAATTAATTGAAGAGAATCTAAATTAAAAATAGAGGCAGGGAAGTTAGAGTGGAACATAGCATATTCCAAGTGTGTGCATTTTAAAGGAAGAATCTTGGTGACAGGTTAAATATGAAGAAGCCCTGCAGGATTTTGATGTTGAGGAACTTAGGTGAATGGATGACGATGTTATCTGTAATGGGGGAGATTGGAAGGGATAGCATAGAATTGTTGATCTTTCATGTCTACATTGATCTGTAATTTGGGATACTTGCTATTTCTCATTTACTCTCTGCCATCTTCCAGAAAGCAAAGAAGTAGATCTGGTAGAGATGGCCTTTGTATAGGTTTTACTTTGTACAATTATATTTATAAAGCTGAGTCAGGCACTAGCAATCAGGTATATTTGCAGGTATGTTAAATTTGCTATGAAACTTGAAATTCATGGATTTTTTTTCAGGTTTTAGAGCAATCTTGGCTGAACCTAAAAATAAAGCATCTGAATCCTCTGAACAAGATTATTATAGTAATATGAGGCAAGAGGCTTTGGGACATGAACCTAGAGTAAATATGTTTCCATTTGGTAAGTAGTCTACCTTTACTTTAATAATATAATGTAGTATGTGCAATCTAATTTGGGTTTTAAAAAATACTCTGTTATTAGTCATCTGTAAATTTCACCTAGTGAATAAATATCTTAAATGTAGCTTTTTATTTCTAAAAAGTGGCTTATAACTCCTAAGATTCTTAATATTTAACACTTATTTTGTTTAACTGATTTCTAACTATAGTTTTCTGTTTAGTTACTCATCCTCATATTATAAACTATTGCCACTGCCACATATCACTGTCACGTTTTTGGGTGAGCTTCTGCCTCTGTGCAGCTGACGAAAAACTTAAAAAGACATATATAGATATCCTCTCAGTATGAGTCCCAAAATTTTGTCCCAGAACTACTGCTGCTTTAAAATTAGGGCTACAGAAAGGAGAGGAATGGCAAAAGTAGAAGCTATAATAGAAAAAAAGAAAATGGGTGATGAAAGTGAGGCCTATGAATGTTATTTGACATAAACTTTCAGGTAAAATTCTTGCTGTATTTCTCAGTTTTGCATACTAAACTTATTTCTGTGAAATGAGACTATGCATTTCTGCTTATATTTCTTCATTAAAGGTAGGGCAAAGGGGAAGAGTTGTCTCTTTTCTTGTCATTAGTCCCATTGGTAGTGCTGATGACCAGAAGCATACTACAAAATACAGTGCCTTTATTCAGTACAATGGACTCTTGGTTTTCTAGTATTTAAAATGTTAAGTGAATTGTTGGCTGTGTAGAAATCTAAAGATTTACTTTTTTTTGTATTGTTGGAGAACAACAATCTGAATTTTCAAGTTTTGACAAGAATGACAGCCGAGGCCAGGAAGCAATCTCCAAACGCTTGTCAGTTGTATCAAGAGTTCCTTTCACTGAAGAACAGCTTTTCAGCATTTTTGATATAGTACCAGGATTGGAATATTGTGAAGTTCAACGAGATCCTTATTCAAATTATGGTAAGATAATGTTCATATTAAAATACATATATACACAGAGTTTTGTTAAAATGGCTTTTCTCTAGTAGGACTTTTATGTCAAATACTGCTCATGTAACAGGAATTTTATCTTTCCTTTTTCCCTACTTTAGACTTCAAATTATGGTGATACCTTAATAAACAAAGCCCTGGAACATATCTCCTTTTTACAAAATAGTTCACTTGAAAATATATTTTAACTCCCACAAAATATAACATTCTGTATTTCCAGTTGCACAACAAAAAAATACCTCAGGATAGAGCCTCTGTCTCGATGAACTCTTTTGGTTAATATTAGGCAAAGTTATGAAACTCACAGTATTTCCTCCTCATTCATCCCTAGATCTCTTTCTCTTAAATATGTACCCCTCATTCTCTTCATTCCAGGTATCTGAATGCCCTACTTCTCTCTCTGCTTCTTCCAATTTCAGTGGAAGCAAGACTCTAATATCAGCCATTTGAATTTATTAGTTAATTGATTAAACCCATTATCTAGCGTTAGTCAACCCATCTTTGTGTTTTAAGCTTTTGATTTTATTAAGGCTCTTTGTTAATGCAGGCATTGTGGCATAATGGGAGAGTTTGGTGTTCCATTTTGCATCAGAATCAGGTACAGATCCCAGCAGTGGCATGTAGCTTTGAGACCTTGGCAATTTGCTTATCCTCTCTGAGCCTCTCTTTCCTCATATGTAAAATGGGATCATTGATACCTTCTTTGCCAGGGTTAGGTAAGAATTCAAGGTAATGTATGTAAAATAACCTAATGCAAGTTCTGGCACATAATAGGGCACTCAGTAAATCGAAAGGTTTTTTTTTTCTTAGTTAGTGAAATAACATTGTCCCTCTCTTTTTTTTTTTTTGTTTTGGAGACGGAGTTTGGTTCTTGTTACCCAGGCTGGAGTGCAATGGCGCGATCTCGGCTCACCACAACCTCCGCCTCCTGGGTTCAGGCAATTCTCCTGCCTCAGCCTCCTGAGTAGCTGGGATTACAGGCGCGCGCCACCATACCCAGCTAATTTTTTTTGTATTTTTAGTAGAGACGGGGTTTCACCATGTTGACCAGGATGGTCTTGATCTCTTGACCTCGTGATCCACCCGCCTCGGCCTCCCAAGGTGCTGGGATCACAGGCTTGAGCCACTGCATCCGGCCACATTGTCCCTCTCTTTAACATCACCCTCCTAAATTGAAATTTGTCCCTTTGATGGAAATCTCTGCAAAGGAATGTAAAATATGTGACTTGTGATCTGAGATTATCTTTTCTCTATCTTTTGGTTTTTCATTCAAATCATTTTTACTCTCCCTACTGCTGCAGATATCCAGGATGAGTATATATATATTTCAACTATCACTTCTCATTTTGTTTCCTACACGGTATGGTTGGAAAATCTTGATATTTCAAAGTAGATTCCAAAGAATAAAAATTTAGACTCGTAAGTATATTGGTGTCATATAAGAAAGCCAGTACCCTAAAATTAAATTTATTAGATAGAATGTATGTTAATATTCCATTTTCCTTAAAATATCATGTTCATTTTTTCCCTAAATCATTTCTTCCTTTTCTAGGAATACACCTACTGCACACATGTATATCAGAATTGTGTTTTCTGATACATTTGATTCTGTATTTACTAGTTGTGTGATGTTAAAGTTCTAAATGGTTTCATTTTTGAGATACATTGTAACATAGGCCTTAGGCACTCAATCTGCTTTCCTGTTTCATTTCTATATATTTTCTATTTTAGGTCATGGAGTGGTTCAGTATTTTAATGTAGCGTCAGCTATTTATGCAAAATACAAATTACATGGATTTCAGTACCCTCCTGGGAATCGAATAGGTGTTTCCTTCATTGATGATGGAAGTAATGCAACAGAGTAAGTACCATTCCAGGAGTGTCTAAAGCTGAGCTTTGAGTGTATATGATTGATAGGACTTGAAGAATAAAAATAGAAAACAGTTGACCTCTTAGGTGAGAAAGTCACACAAAACAAGTTATTGTTAAAGACTGAATATTTCTAGTTTTCTGTAAATTATCAGTTATTGTCTCCAGTCTCCTTAGAAAAATGGCAACACAGATGGTAGCTGCACAGCTTGCATCAGTGGTGTGGAATAACCCAAGTCAGCAACAATTTATGGTAAGTAGGTAAGAATTTAATCTTCGTAATATATCAATAGTATATAAAATAAATATGAAGAAAAAATGTACTTTTTTGATTACCTATATAAGAAAATTTTCAGAGCTATAGTGGAAGACCACATAGATGCCATGATACATATCTGTCTTTAGCTCTTGGCCAAAAATCCCTAAAGGGCATTTTTTTCTTTTTCTTGTTTTCTACCTGTTAACAGCAATTTGGAGGAAGCTCTGGATCACAGTTGCCTCAAATCCAGACAGATGTTGTACTTCCATCATGCAAAAAAAAGGCCCCTCCTGAAACTCCTGTGAAAGAAAGACTTTTTATTGTGTTTAATCCTCATCCTTTGCCTTTAGACGTATTAGAAGATATATTCTGGTAAGAAAATTACACTTTTTATTATAACATATTTATGCTAGTAATTTAAGCATTCTCCTAATCTAGACCCTTCCTTCATCCAGTACCTATCAGGTAGAGAGGATTTGTTCTGTGGTTTTAAAAACTACTTAAAAAAAATATATATTTATGTATATATATATACACATATATATGTGTGTATATATATATACGTATATATATGTATACGTATATATATATATACGTATACATATGTGTGTGTATATATATATGTATATATGTATATATACGTATATATATACACACACACACACACACACACACATATATATATATATATAAAATTGCGTTTTAGGTTTTGAGGTACATGTGAAGAATATGCAAGATTGTTACCTACATGGCAATGTGGTTTGCTGCCTTCCTCCCCATCACCTGTATCTGGCATTTCTCCCCAGGTTATCCCTCCCCAACTCCTCACCCCCTGCTGCCCCTCCCCTAGTAAAAACTACTTATTTATATCATCTTTTTCAATTTCTGATCGTTTTCTTCTCTTATTTATCAAGCACACATCCTAAGGCTCCATATAGAATTTCTTGCTATTTTGTTTTGAAGACATGAAATGGGCCAGGCCCAGTGACTCATGCCTATGATCCCAACATTTTGGGAGGCCAAGGTAGTGGGAATCTTGAGCTGAGGAGTTCAAGACCAGCCTGGGCAAAATGGCAAAACCCCATCTCTACAAAAAATACAAGAATTAAACAGGCATGGTGGTACATGCCTGTGGTCCCAACTACTTCTCAGGATGAGGTGCAAGATTGCTTTTACCCGCGAGGTCGAGGTTGCAGTGAGCCAAAATTGTCCTACTGCACTCCAGCCTGGGAGACAGAGTGAGACCCTTTTTATTTGTGTGTGTGTGTGTGTGTGTGTGTGTGTGTGTGTGTGTGTGTTTAACTAAGCATTGTCTGTTTTGTTGGTGCATTGTTGTATCCTTAAGGGTTATACAGCCGCATTGTGTAAACGATACTTGATTATAGGGAAAAATATATAAATGCTTTTTATAAAAAAAAAAAGAAGAAGAAGATCTGGCTGGCTCACACCTATAATCTCAGCACTTTGGGAGGCTGAGGTGGGCAGACACCTGAGGTTGGGAGTTTGAGACCAGCCTGACCAATGTGGTGAAATCCCATCTCTACTGAAAATACAAAATTAGCCAGGCTTAGTGGTACATGCCTGTAATTCCAGCTTACTCAGGAGGCTGAGGCAGGAGAATGGCTTGAACCTGGGAGACAGAGGTTGTGGTGAGCTGAGATCACACCATTGTGCTCCAGCCTAGGCAACAGGAGTGAAACTGTCTCAAAAAAAAAAAAAAAAAAAGGAGGGGGAAGCTTCTTATTTTTGTGTTTTTAACATAACTTCTTTCTTCACTTTTTCTTTTAGGTCTTTTTCCCATCTGCCTTATAAGAATGTTAGTGAATTAGATAGATAGGAAGCTTGTTAAAGAGCTGCACAAAATATCAGGGACATAATGTGGTTGTATGTTGAGGCTCAAAAGGAAAAAAAATCAGGGACATGATTCAAGTCTTTTTGACCTTTATTTAACCGATGTATTTAGTTTTTTTCTTGAACTTCCTCTTTCTGCAAGGCAGGAACTGTGTATGCTAAGTACAAGAGACATTATATAAGCAAAATGTTAAATGGACAAGACATTATAGTTCTTGTCCTCTTAGAGCTGATCTCATGTAGGAAACAGATAAGTAACTAGAAAATTACAACCCAGTGTGATTGGTGTTGTGATTAGGAATGTGTAAAATACATTGGGGGAGCAGTTAACCTTAGAAACTCTGAGAAGCCTTGAAAGAATGAAGGTGTATTTGGAGACCTGAAAGATGAAAATAATTTTTCTACAGGTGAAAGCTGGTGGTATGCATGGTTATTTCTGTCATAGAGATTGTAAAAGAAGAGCTTTTAGATAGAGAATTTGAGAGTGTTTGGGAAAATGAAACTAAAGAGTCCAAGGACTATGTCAGAAAGGCTCTTGAGCTATATTAAGGAATTTGTTGTCATCCTGGAGGCAGTGGGGAGCTGCTGAGGGGATTTTTAGGGAGTTAGTGATCATATTTAGATTTTAGAAAGATCACTCAGAAGACAGAGTAGAAAATGGATTGAAGAGGGACAAGCCCAGGGGTTAAGGAAACTAGTGAAAAAGGAATTAGATTAAGGAAAAGATGATGGTCTGAATAAGAAGAGAGACCTGAAAGAGAATGAATAGAATTGACTGAGATGTTTAAGATTGGCAAGAGTTGGATATCCAATCTGAGGAGAAGGGTGAAAACGGAGTCGAGCATGGACTCCAAATTTTAGACCTGAGCAGCTGTATTTATCAATTTTGGTTGCTTATTTTTTCACTTTGTTTCAGCCGCTTTGGTAACCTGATCGAAGTTTACCTTGTGTCAGGAAAAAATGTGGGCTATGCCAAGTATGCCGATAGAATAAGCGCGAATGATGCCATTGCCACTCTACATGGAAAGATTCTGAACGGGGTGAGACTTAAAGTTATGCTGGCAGATTCGCCAAGAGAAGAATCTAACAAACGGCAAAGAACTTACTGATTCTTGAGGTAAGCCTTTTTTAATCTGAATTTTAAAACATACTGAGTAAGTAGTATAGCAGGAGGAATATGCATAAGTACTTTAATTATGAACTTTTCTTTTTAGTGGTTTAGAAGTTGTCAGTTAAAAGAGCTTTGCAACTATTTAAACTTTAAAAATTGTTGACATTTACTAGAAGAATGGTTTTGCCCTATCAAATAAAATTAGATATCAATTTAGAAAGATTAATCATTGGTTTTTGTTTGTGAAATCTTAGATTTTAAGAATTTGACTTTTTTACTATATGTGCTTACATAAACTTTTTAATTGTCCAGTGCTAGAATATAGATTGCTTCAAAAAAAATTAAAATACTTCTAAAGATCTTTCACTTGAAGAATTTCTGTCTTGAGTTATGAATTGAGGTAATTTATAACAGTCTTTTATAAAGATAATGTTTTGACTTCTCTCTAATGAACTGTCTAAAAGGCAATAAATAATATATCATTTTTGGACCTTCTGAACCTAACTGTTGGTATTTTCTGGACTTATATTTGTGAGTTTGTACATTAAAACAATACATTCAGAAAATATTCTTGTGTGCATATATGTGTTTTTTAAGAAAACCTGACAATTTACCAAAAACTCTTTATCTATTGTAAATTACAATATGTACAGCCATATGAATTTCATTTCCTATTTTATTTATTAGTTTTCAAAAATCAAACTATAATTTCTTTTACTGTGACAGTTTATATCTTTGTGGTTTGGGGAAACATTCTTTAAAGTTTGGCTTTTTTTATTCTGTAAAATAATTCTAATTTCAGGGGAAGCTGTTTTCCTAGTTCCCACAAACCAGATTTCTAAGTCTACTATAGGTCAAATGCAGTAGATGGCAAGCACTTTGAATTTAGTTGAAGTTATTGGCTTGAAACCTTTATTTTTTTCACTTAAGATTTTCTTTCTGATCAATTATGTGAGCTAGCACATATGAAAATGAATCCTACCAGGCCTCACTTCTGATGACCCTTCCTTTCCTAGAACAGGTCACATGATTAGTCCCTCCTTCATAGAAGGCATTTGACAAGAGAAAAGTGCCCATTGGGCACATTACATATAATTCTAATTTTTAAATGTTTTATTAAGTGACAAATCCACTGTCATTGTACCATACATTGTTAGCAGTTTAACCCTGGAAATATTAAATTGCCAGTGAAAAAGAATTAGCGAGCATTTTTTCCTGTTGATGAATAAAATGTTAAGAATGAATTCTATTTGGACAAGCTATTCTATAGCATGCAAAAAAATGTGTTTATTCCAGTCTGTGAATATTTCAACAATAGGAAATAAACAGTTCTTGTTTTTACAAGACAAATCTTTGTCCTTAAAAAGGGTAATAATATAGACTTCTCAGTATAGAATAGTATATAAATTACTCTTATGGTTGAACCTTTTCTAATGATTACTTACATGTTAAAGAGAATATTGGGCTTAAAATTAAAAGCCATTTAACTGTGACTGGGCTGGTGTCTATGCCTTTAAAAAAAAAAAAAAAAATGCATAATCTCTCTCTGTCACCCAGGCTGGAGTGCAATGGCCTGATCTGGGCTTACTGCTACTTCCACCTCCTGGGCTCAAGCAGTCCTCCCACCTCAGCATCCCAAGTAGCTGGGACTACAGGCATGTGCCACCATGCCCAGCTAATTATTAATATTTTTTGTTTTTGGTAGAGTCAAGGTTTTGCCATGTTGCTCAGGCTGGTCTTAAACTCCTGAGCTCAAGCCATCTGCCTTTCTCAGCCTCCCAAAGTGCTGGGATTACATGTGTGAACCACGGCACCTGACCCTCTTTGTCTTTTTGAGGCCCAGTTTGCTCTTAGGGCTATTCAAAGACGAGTCAACAAAATTCCTTGTAAAATGAAAAAGGCTTTTCAAGTCTAAGCTAAAACTCGTACATTTGTAGCTTCAGTGAAACCTTTGAAATGTCCTTTTATCTGAAATAATGACATCCAAATGATTAGAAATTAAAAGTATAATGACATAAAACTACCTCACGGCCAGCTGGTACTGTGAGAACTAAGCTTTATAAAACCACGTTTTTCCCTTAAACTCATGCAATTTCCTACATAATCAGCATGGCTGTTCATAAAAATTTTAATCTATCATTTTTCCCTTTTTTGAACTGTTACACATATTCAGGGCAGAGATAAAGTAGGGTCAGGTTAACTGAAATGGTTATTTGGATAGGATATGATTAGCTACAGGGTTTTGAATTTCTTCTAATTGCAGCATGGCTTTTAAAAAATTTTTTGCTGCGGATCTTCTATTTACAATGGACTCCATTATGAGATTCTTCTTCTTTGTTGGTGTATTAAATAAATATATTATCTTATTTTAAGGTTCCATAAAATACTGTGGAAGACTTTCCCAAATTTTATATGGTTGTGACAAGTTTTTTTGGGTAGGTGCACTTTTTTATTTGTTTCATTAATTTTTAAGAGGCTACAAACACAACTCATGAAGGCTAGTTTATTTTGTCTCTGAGGTATGGGCCTGGTATTAAGTGAGTCATTCCTAGGAGATAGAAACAACTGATCTAAGGATATAACTTTGAAAGTAGTTGAGTTCTATTTCGAGATGGGTCTGATAACCACAATGTAATTGTCTATTTGAGGAAAATAGAAATTTTAGTATTTCAGAGCATCAGATTTTTTATTAATTCACAACATTTTCCCTCTAGAAATTCAGTACCTGCATCACCCTTCTGAGTAAGTTTGGTTTTATTTGGGGGTGCCTCTGATTAAGCAGATAACATTGGGTATATTGAAATAAAGGAACAATTCCTAAAATTTTAGGAATACTACAACAGCTGTTTCCTTTCAGGTGATGATTTTCATACTTGTGTTGTGTTCTTTCTACAGAACAAAGACTAAATAATGACATAATCCTCAGCTGACTGACTGAAAATGTGACTGGACGCATTCCCTGTGGACAGTTGACAGCTTTTTTTTTTCATATACCTGATAGTCTGTGTACAGCATTGTTTTGTCCGGGAAGTAGGGATTGCTGACATGTATTTTTGAATCCATACATTAATGCTAAAATGAATATAGTAGTTGTTCCTTAGAGCAATATGTTGTTACGTGTAGCAGAAATAAAGTTTTCTTTGCCTAACTAAATCATGACTTATTTATGTGAAAGACAATAATAGAAAAGTTTAACAGGCAGTCTTTAGAACTTGACTAAATGACTTATTTCATTTATTTTGAGATGCACATCTTTCACATTTTAACACCTCTGGAAGTGGAAGCATCTCGATATGAATTGTATGGCTTAGTGTAGTTGATAGCCTTTTTTTCTTCTTTAATAAAATATGAAAAGGTGCTTTTTTCAATCAACTGCTTCTTAGAGTCAAGAAAATATGGTAAACGCTACTCAATCTATACATCCAGGTTAACTGTTTACACTTAATCTAAGAACAAAAGACAAATCATTACAAATATTTTATACCGTATTTTTGTTTTAGTTATACCAAAATGTATTGGTAAATTTGTAAAGCTCTTTTAAGATTATTAAGCAACAGTGTTAAAAAAATTAAAACTTGTTGATAATAAATTTAAATAAATCTCAGTGGCTTTGGGAGATGGACATTTTTATCTTTATAGAAATAATGGCCACTCCAAAAATATGACATGTAAGGAATTTTCAAAACAGACTACAATAGGAGGTATAGTCATTTTGAAATTAAAGATTAAAAATTAGGGCCGGGTGGTGGCTCACCACACCTATAATCATGTCACTTTAGGAGGCCGAGGCAGGAGGATTGCTTGAGCCCTAGAGTTCAAGGAGAGATCAGCCTAGGCAGCACAGGGGGGCCCACTCTCTAAAAAAATACAAAATTAGCCAGGTGTGGTGACATGTGACAGTAGTCTCAGCTACTCAGAAGGCTGAAGTGGCAGGATTACTTGAGCCTGGAAGACTGAGACTACAGTGAGCCACAATAGTACTGCTCCAGCCTGGACGGCAAAGTTAGACCCTGTCCTAAAAATAAAAACTAAAGATTAAAAATTAGAATCTATTCTGCTTGTATTTTAAAACTGTAGCCAAAAAATGTTATTAGCTTTGTGGTTGAATTATATGTATCAAAAAGATGTATCTAAATCAAGCACTTGACACTTTTTATAAAAAGGTATTATAAATGCTAAACATTTGTTCAAACAATTATCTCCTCATTATACCTCTCATGACTCAAACTAATAATGATGAAAGATTAAATTCAGCAATCTTGGCCTGACGCAGTGGCTCACACCTGTAAACCCAGCACTTTAGGAGGCCAAGGCAGGTGGATCATGAAGTCAGGAGATTGAGACCATCCTGGCCACCATGGTGAAACCCCGTCTCTACTAAAAATACAGAAATTAGCTGGGTGTGGGGGCTTGTGCCTATAATCCCAGCTACTTAGGAGGCTGAGGCAGGAGAATCACTTGAACCCAGGAGGTGAAGGCTGCAGTAAGCCCAGATTGCACCACTGCACTCCAGCCTGGGCAACAGCAAGAGTCTTGTCTCAAAAAAATAAATAAATAAAATAAAAATAAATTCAGCAGTCTTAATAGAGTATCTTATACTTGGACATCTCCATTGGAAAACTAAAATCCTTTCCTTTAAAAGTCAGTGATTGGCTGGGTGCCGTGGCTCACATGTGTAATCCCAGCACTTTGGGAAGCCGAGGCAGGCGAATCACGAGGTCAGAAGTTCGAGACCAGTCTGGCCAACATAGTGAAACCCTTCTCTACTAAAAATACAAAAATTAGCAGGGTGTGGTGGCACATCCCTGTAATCCCAGCTACTTGGGAGACAGGAGAATTGCTTCAAGTCGGGAAGTGGAGGTTGCAGTGAGCTGAGATCACGCCATTGCAATTCAGCCTGGGTGACAGTCTTATCTTTAAAAAAAAGTCAGTGATTTTAGCAAATTTAGATTTAAAAATGTCATCTTATCTTCACAGACAAAACTGCTGACAAGAATTGGACCAGCTATCTTTCTGTGAGCCAGAGGATGTATTTTAAAAACAAAGCAAAGCTGGGTACAGTGGCAAGTGCCTGTAGTCCCAGCTACTCAGGAGACTGAGGCGATAGAAGTGCCTGAGCCCAGGAGTTCAAGGCTGCAGTGTGCTGTTACTGTACCTGTGAATAGCCACAGTCTTCTGTTTCTTTGTTTCTGATTTAAAAAAAAAAAAAAGGCAATGAAAAACCTAAGTGAGGGGAGTTGTAGATTAATTGCCAAAAAATAGGTATAATTATACCCAAACTCATTTACTATACATATGGTTCAGTTTTCACAGATTGAGATTAAATTGTTCCTTACAAGTCATTGGGCTCTGCCATGTAAGTAATACTTGAATTACCTCAAAAATGTTTCTGCCAGGTGGTTAATCTAAACAGTGTAAAAGTAACAGTTATAGGAAGGAGCTCTCTACCTCCTACCTGAGTCCATTGCATCTTTGGTTAATCTTCACAATTGAGACAAAATCTGATTTCCTACAATTTTCCCCTGTTAAAGTATTTCACTGGGCTTTCTAGGAGAAATTGAATCTGTCACATGTTAGCTGTCATAGTACCTGGCCAGCCCTCCACATTCTCTGTTCAGATTAAATGATCCTGGTTTCTCCCTTCTGCAAGTCAGGCAGCCAGTCCCAGCAGCTGTGGTAAGAGTAAGTTACCTTATCTAGGTGTATTTCTTTGAATCCTAATATAAATTCTAAAGAGATCATATGATGCCTCTCTACCTACAAAACACTTTTCGTTTTCAGTACAACCTGTTTTGTTTTCTTTCCCAGTTGCATGTCTCAGTAAACAATGCTTACTTCCGCTTCTGCGTGCATTTCATCTTAATCCTCTCAGTTATTTAGCTTTGGTCCTGTCTTTCTGTCTTTTGCAGTTGATCCCTAAAGCTGTATTTTAAAAGCTAGAATTTCAAATTTGTCTTAGAATGAGGAAATTCTAGAACCTAAAAATAGCATTTAGTAATCTAGTTGTTTATTTCTCGCCTTAATATTTACTTTTCAGGAGCACTTTGAGTATGATAACATAATATATAAATATTTAGATGCTCAGCGAATGTTAGTTATTAAAACTGCTAACAGTGTTTTATTTGTATATATTTATTTTTTAAAAAAGTTAAATAAGCAGCACAGCTCAGTAAACCTCTCAAGCATGTAGTTAAAATGAGAAATAACATTTAAAATAAGCCTGATCAAAGCCTTTTTGTAAATTCATCAAGTGAGGTCTTGTATACTAGGTTACAGGTACTGAAAGCAACTGTCAAATTTGCTGCTTCTAAATCAACACGTTCCAAACTATGTTCCTTGGAATACTAGAAAGAGTTTTTCATGATTAAATACACTTAGAAAATGTGCAGTATTTTTTTAGTTCCACAGATTTCATCTACTATAGATAAAAAGGTAGGGAAAAATACCCAGGAAATTATTGGTCTAAAATTTTAGCTTTCTCTGAAAGCTTTGTTCTCTCTCAATTGGGATCCTATTCGGTATGAATGAAGCCATACACAAATAAGGGACTTTACCACTAGGTGGTAGTAAATACTGGTGATAAAGTGCAGCATTTCAATGTTAATTTAAGGCCCTGAGATGGAAATGAAATGATGGTGTTTGAAATGCCTAAAACTGTGCTTTTTTAAAGGAATTTTATTCATATTGCACAAGCTGGAGTGCAATGGTGCAGTCTCTGCTCATCGCAAACGCCTCCTCCCAGATTTGAGCAATTCTCCTGCCTCGCCTCCTGAGTAGCTAGGATTACAGGCATGCATTACCACACCAAATAATTTTATCTTTTTAGTAGAGACAGGGTTTCTCCATGTTGGTCAGGCTGGTCTGGATCTCCTGACCTCTGGTGATCCGCCCACCTTGGCCTCCCAAATTTCTGCGATTACTGGCATGAGGCACTGCACCCAGCCAAAACTGTGGTTCTTAAACTTTGGTGTCCACAGGAATCACCCTTAATGTTTGTTTAAAATACAGGTTTACTGGTTCTTTAGGTTTGGGGTGAGTTTTTGAACAAGCTGTGGTTATGATGGGGTGGTCAGTGGCATTCACTTTGGAATATACTGGCCTAAAGGAGGTTTCATATGTTGGACCTTAGGTTGAACTATTGTAAAAGTAAGGCACCAAGAAGTTGTTTCTTAGTCTTTTTACCTTGGGCATTTTTTAGAATTATGCATCTGGTTTTTCCTCAGTTTAATATCAGTAAATATGCATTGCATTAAGAAATTGAAAAACACAGTCTCATAAATAACAAGTAATAGGCCAGCATTTTTATTGATGTTCGTAAGGGATGATAATTGTTTATGCCATTCAAAGCTTTTATCTAATATTTTTTATTTACATTTATTTTTGTGAGTATTGTAAAAAAATTACCAAAGACTGGGGCTCTGAAGAAGTACATAGGTTCATGTTGTTTGAAATGTCAAAGGAGTATGAAGGAGATGTAATTATCATTTCCTAAAAAACTGAAATAGAGCCGGGTGCGGTGGCTCAAGCCTGTAATCCCAGCACTTTGGGAGGCCGGGGCGGGTGGATCACGAGGTCGAGAGATCGAGACCATCCTGGTCAACATGGTGAAACCCCGTCTCTACTAAAAATACAAAAAATTAGCTGGGCATGGTGGCTCGTGCCTGTAATCCCAGCTACTCAGGAGGCTGAGGCAGGAGAATTGCCTGAACCCAGGAGGCGGAGGTTGCCATGAGCCCAGATCGCGCCATTGCACTCCAGCCTGGGTAACAAGAGCGAAACTCCGTCTCAAAAAAAAAACTGAAATAGAATAATCAAAAGGGTACAGAAATACCTCTATATGTATGTGAGTGTTCTTACAGTCCTAAGGTGAATCTTCTTGTAAAATGATTGCTTTTTTGACTTATAGGTACATTTTAACTTTTAGTGACTTTAATAAATACTAAAACTAAAAATCAGTGAGGGCAAAAACCATTGAAATCTATTGCCTTTTCACCTAGAGGTATAGCTACACACAGGCTTTGTTCCATATGTGGATGGTAAGCACTATTAAAAATCAGGGCAATTATTTTTACATATGATTTCAGTAAAGAGAAAACCAAAAAGGTCATCCTTATTAGATAAGAAGTTCCATTTTAATACCTGAATTCTAATAA